CAAGGTAAAAGCCACACGTGGCGCTGGGCTGCAGAAGGCAGGGTGTTATGCAAGGCAGATGGTGCATGTATCCTGTTCCATTTTTCAGTGTATCCAAACTAGAGGGTGGGAAGGAGGAAAGCTCCCAGGTACGGCAGCCACCAACCTACTATGAAAGCTGAGAAACAGAATAACTGGGCAGGCAGAGTCCAGACATTTTACACTTTGCAAGGCTGATTCCTCTTGCTACAGCGTCCCTGCGCTGTTTGGGGTCAATAGATGTACATCGCTGTTATACTGGTCTAAAGGCTACTTGTCTCCCAGGTTACAAAGGAGTTAGTGGCACGGGTAACAATTTCCAAGCATGCTGTGGATGCAGGGTAGATTTTTCAAAAGGGCCTATGTGGGTTGGGAACCTAAGTCTCATTGGAAGTATAGTCTAACTGGCTTCCAGATAAGTGCCAAACTATTTAGAAAAACCCCCAGTTTCAATCTCTCAAGACATGCACGGAAGCATTTACAGCCCTTTACATTGAGGGGGGCACATTTCTTTGGAAAATGCGTAGCAGACAAATCAAGGACATAGGCTTGTACAAGGGTGGATGTGAGTGGTTTATTTTTAGGTAGAGGCTTCCTTGAAATGGAGCATTATTAAAGCCATTCATGTGTGGCTTCTGGCCTACATCCTCAAAAGCCGCCATTGGGACATATCTACACTACATGGAAGCTCGATGCTGCCGCGGTCGATCTTCCGGAGTTCAATTTAGCGGGTCTAGTGAAGGCCAGCTAAATCAAACTCAGAGGGCGCCCCTATCGGCGCTGGTGCTCCTGCTCCTTACAAGGAATAAGGGAAGCCTATAGGAGCATTTGTGCCCATCGGTCTCCTGCTGTGTGGACAGTGCAGAAACTCTATTTAAGATGCTTCAACTCCAGCTACGCAATTAACACTGCTGGAGTTATGTATCTTAACTGGACTTTCCACTGTAGTGGAGACCATGCCTTAGTGTCTCAGGTTCTGGATTCCCAGAGTGGCACACAGTCACGGGACCCGATGTGGCTTCTTTCAGACACTTCAAGCTGGGCTTTCGGAATCACTAGTCTCCTTGAAAATGTTGCCTTCTGTGTGATGGGGCTGTGTGCCGTGGGTGCAGATTACCTGCCTTAGTCCTCTTTCATCGATCTCCGAAGGGTTTGTGAAGTTCACCGAAGGGTTCATGAAGTTCAGAAATGAACTGGGATAAAGTTCTTCTCTGTCCCAACATCCAGTTCACACGGGCCATCTTCTTGCATACTTCGGCCAAGGAGCTTGCCAGGATGCCTGCCGTGCCCTCTGCCAGCTGCCTGTGCGGAGCCTGAGTATCTGTGAGGCTCAGTTTAACCTTCCCCTCCCTGAAGTAGTGAAGAAGGGACCACGAGAGCTACTTTTCCAACCCTCCAGGCTTGCCCTCTTACAGCGGATCCCATCAGCTGAATCGAAATGGCTTTCGACAGTAAAAGAACAACCAGGCTCTGTATCGAAGTCCTGCAGTTTCTTTAAAGGGTGGAATTTTAAAAATAATGATTCTTAATCAGAGCAGGAGAGAAAAGTTTCACGTTCTCCTGCCCGTGGGCACCTTGGCTTTTGTCAATGATACTATTTAGCCACATTTTCTTTTTATTCCTTTGACATCTATTCATTTTCAGGCATTCCCTCCCTGGCAGAGTGGACTCCCAGTCTCCTTCCTGCCTTTTATCCCATTGTACAGCTTTTTTTTTTTTGATCTGCAGAAGGAAAAGAAAATCTTACATTTCAGTTTCAGTTTAACCTCAGTTTGTCCTCTTTCTCCTCTTTAGAGAAGAGGGCCATCCAGGAGTGTGACAACTGAAATACATATCCTCGGGGCAGTTCTCAGACTGCAAGAGACCTATGGCAGACGTGTGTGTTAGATTTTTTTGCAGGGAATGGCTTAGGTTGATGCAAAAAGGCATGAAACATGGCGGCAACAGAATTTAGAAAATAGCACTTTGGTTCAGACTCTGATTTGGCCCACGATCAAAAAGCACCATCCCCTTTGGGTTGGCTGTTTGGTTCTGTGGCTCATGTTATTATTGTTATTGCATGTGTGTTACATTGGTGCCGATGGGCCAGCCAAGAGGGGCCGGTACTGTTCAAACCCAGAGTGGCAGACAGTCCCTGCACAGAAGAACTTCATTCAGAGTAGACAAGACAGACACCGGGTTGGGGAAGGGCCATAAAACACCATCAGGGTGACCTGCATGGTGGCAGCGTGTGACATATTCATTCCTCAATTCTCGACCCATGAGGATGCTGCGGGGAGAGATGGCCCCATCTGGGCCCCATTTCTCCTCCTCTTACCCCAGAACAAACTACTTGGATCCCATAGGAAATATCCAAGTAGTGGCATCTTCCACAGAAAGTCAAAAACCCACAGCATAAAAACACTTGCTGCCGCACAGCATCCACATTCTTAGTGTAACCACCAAGGGTTTTAGGTTTGGCTCAAGTCTCATATCCAGGCACTTCATCTACACCCCCACTCAGCAGTTACAAACGTTAGTGTAAGTTAGTAGTGTGGACTTGTGCTGAATAATAGCACAGCAAATATAGCCCATTGATCTATAGCTAGAGATTTTCACCAAAATATTCCAGTAGAACAATTCAAAGGGTTTGCTTTTGTATCAGCCCTACATCCCTGTGAAAAGTTAATGACAGCAAATTAGCCATCTCAATAGGCTTTGCCCCGGTGCCTGCAATGCACGTGCTCTGCTGACATGAATATCCTCTTAGTGACAAGATCTGTGGTTTAATTTTGTGTTCGAGTATGACAGTGCTGCAAAAAGAGACAGAGGAAATAAGAAAAGTCCTTACCCCACACACTCTTTTGCCCATCACTTTAACCAAATCAAACTATTTCATTAGAATACTTTCCCTTTTTTTTCCCTTCCAATATTTTTTCATTGGCATGTGCTTCCTGGTATTAGTCAGGCGTATAAATGACTGGGCCAAAACGCAGTAAGAAAAGTTGTTCATTTCAGGTTAATTTCATTCTGATCTTAGGCAGGAGGTGCTTAAAATCTTAAGCCCATTCGTATCAGATTTCTCAATCTAGCAAAGCTTTAGACTCTAGGGATAAACCCTGGATCTGAGCATGCCTCAAAACTTTGGGTAGTCGTGTCCTAGCTTTGCAGCTGGCCCCCTTTTGTGGTAAAAGTCTGATTTTGGGGTTGCACATCTGTACTGAGCAGCTGAGACCTGGGAAGATTGTCCAACACTGTCTGAGATTTAGAAAAGTGCTTTTGTCTCCCATCATGACCAATGTTATGTCCATGGGACTAACCAAATGCTACTGATTTTCTTAGTGATTCTTCCATGCCAAACAAGCATTATTCTCCTGCAGTTCATGCCCTCTTTCTTCTATATGCCGCTCTCCTTGACAAATCTAAGAAAGTTTTTGGAATCTGCCAGAGGAGATGCAGGGATCCTTTGCAAAGTTTGTGCTTCACTCCAGCATTCCTGGCTTCCAGTCACCTAGGAAGTAGAAGTCTTTCCTCGGGTCACTGGTGGCCTCAGATCTTACACATGGCAGAGAAATGTGTTGCCTCCAGAGCAATTGAGCTAATTCAGAGGCTGGAAAATTGGACCAGGAGATGCTTTTGTAAAGAATAAGAAAGGAGCTAAGTCCTCAGGGAAGAGTCACAGGAAATAACACAAATATTTGCATAAAAATAGTGGGCTCTTGACTCTTGTTTGGGTCTGGAAACTATTAAAGAGCGAAGACAAGCATCTGCCATCAATTAACAGAGAAGAGAAACACCAGAAAACTCTGCCCTGTTGCTCTTTAAATCTCTGAACTGGTGTGTTCCCCTCCCCCCTTCATCTTTCGTGAGTGTCCACGTGTTTCACTGCCTGAGTCTCATGAAACTCTGGTGTCTTTGAACAAAACCACTTGGAGCATGGAGCTCTCCTCAGAGAGTCAAATAGGATGTAAGGCTCTTTGCCTTTGAGGCACTCGGTCCACGTGGGACTTAATTACTAAACCAGATCGTCCTGTAAAAAAAATAAGATCTGACTTTCGCAAATCATCCTCGAAGGAAATGAGAACTCTGCAGTCCTCTTGTGCGTGGTAATTCTGTCTCTCGCTTTGCATTAAATTATCCAGTCGACAAGTGCTGTTTCTTGAAGGTTTGACTGTAATGTCTGAGAAATTCCGTCTTAGCCTTTGGGGGTCTTTTGGACATCAGGCTGTGCTCATCATCATCATCATCATCATCATTTCGGAGAGTAGAGGTTTGACCCATTTGGAAAATAATGTGCTGCCATGTATGTGTGTGTACAGCTGCCCCCTAGTGGATGGGAGCTCAGAGGTGCTGAGGTGTTGAAAGTCATTCCTGTCGCTCAAGTGGGTGAGGCAGGCAGTTACAGGACCGCTGACAAGGGGGTCAAATGGGGCAGCTGCCTCAGGGCCCAGCAATTTAAAAGGGTTTGGAGCTTCCGTCCCCCACCGCTGCTACAGCGGTAATGACAGCAGCTGGAGCCCTTTAAATTGCCGCCAGAGTCCCGGGCAGTACTGAGGGGCTAGCTGGGGGAGGCTAGTCCCCAACCCCATCCTTTCCACATGAGGCCCTGACCCTTCTAGAAGCCGAGGGCCACTGCCCCGACCTTGCTCAGGGTGCAGTGAAGTCTGTCGGCTGCCCTGAGCAGCTCTGAAGGTTCTTAGTGCCGTTTCTCCTGGCACTTGCATGTGGTTATCTGACATCAGCGGTGTCTGTGTGGGCACCAATATGAATCCATTTTATTTGTGACGTAGGGTATGAAACGGGTGCTTCGTGCATGGCATTAGCTCTCCTATTGTATCCTGCAGCCATGCGATAATGGTGAATTGAGGCCATTGCAATCTTTGGCTGGCAAGAGACTGATATGACAATTGAATGGTTGTGACGTCTCCACAGACTGTACTGTTGAGGCAGGAAACCACTGACCCAAACAGAAATACCCTCCTTCGTTGTTAGGGGGACACCGGGCAAGTTAGATGTGTGAAATCCTTCTCACTCTCTCCTAATTTGCCGTGCTTTTGTCTTGTTTTTTCGGGTGAGCTCTCCCTTTGCTGCACTGACTATTGCGGTTTAACCCTAGATGAATTTGCCAGACGTTTCTTTGGTAAGATGACAGAAACACGTTGCCAGAAAATGGGTCTGCTGCATTTCAGTGCAAGGGAGCCACTGACCTGACGTCTTCCGTGTCAGAAAGACGGGTGGGCTGGTTTGCAGATAATGCCATGTCTCGGCGCTCACGGTGCTAACATCTGGCAGGGCCTGGCTGAATCCATCCCCTGCCTGTGGAAGCATGTGCCTCTGATAAGGCAGGGTCGCATTCATGGCAACGAGCCATAGGCAGCATGGGAGGGCCGTTTGGCCTCGAATGCTAGATTCGGAGCCCCTGTTGCTGGGCCCTGAGCTCTGTGGCAAAAGGGCAGGCAGCCACAGAAGAGCCTCTTTTCAAACAGGAAACTAAAACCAGTGTGGTTGTGTGGAATTTCTGTGCTGCCTCTTTGTCAGGGACCTCCCTGGGGGCATGGAGGCTCGCGGGAGGCCTCGACAGGGGTGGAGGGCACGGTGGCTGGGGTGAAAAACAGAGTGGGAGGCTGGTCTACTGAGGGGGAGGGCATGGTGGAGAGCAAATAACTGAGTGGCTACATGCACAACGTACAAAGACCCCTTCCTCTCCTGCCCCCCGCTGCAGCATGGAGTGCGTCTGCAGCAGCAATGTCTGGTCCCATGTTCATGCCGCACCCCATAACCGCTCTCCTCAGCAATAAACAGTGCGGTTCTGCTCCTTTCCATTTGAGGGGGCCACGGTCCCTCTCCCCTCCTGATCCAGGCACCAGGAAGCAGCCAAAATTAGACCCACCGAGTCAGGGAAGGTTGCTGCTTTGGGATGGTGTGAGGGGTCTGAGCCATGATTGACTGACACTCTTCTCTTGGGTAACGTGTCATAGTGACCCTGTGGTATCTTCTCCATTATTTTAACTGTAGAGTGTCCAGAAGGGACGTTTGGGGTTAACTGTCTACAAGCCTGCTCCTGCGATGGCTCTCCCTGCGACCCTCTCACTGGAAAATGTATCTGTTTGCCCGGCAGGACAGGACTTGATTGCGGCCGAGGTGAGGAGGCAAGAGGTGTGTGTGTGTGTGTCAGCTGGCCATTTGGGGCTTTCTTTTCCTTTTACTAAATGATTTTATAACAAACCTTCTGCACATAGATTGTGTGGAAGTAAAAAAATAAAGCAGCATTCTCCAAGCGTACAAGACGCTGACAATGAAACCAGCTAGGCAAGGCCCGTTGTCCACGCTGAATGACGTGTAAGCAAGTGATCAATGGCAGAAGGAATGAAACGTGAGATGGAGTTTCCAGTGGTTGCCGTCGAAGGAATTGTTATTTTCAGAGTAGTATTTATTTTTATGGTCCTCACTCTGTCCCCTTGCTGGCTGGAAGACCAGAGATCCCTAAATAAAAAGTTAGATACCACAGCTGGAAGATATGAGTCATCTTGAAATGTCTTAGTTCTAATAGCTTGACTGAGCAATAGAAGACACATAAGTACAGCACTTAATAACCCCTCTCAGCCATTGGAATGGCTTGTATCACTTTAACTAGGATATCTGACTCAGCTTTTCACTTCTCAGCTTCTTGGCTCCTATTTGGAATTAAATGCAGATCTTGGGAACACTGAGCAAGGTCTCTGTCTAGCACGTGAAA